ATTGGATTGCTGATGTTCAATATTAGCTGATATTGGATTGATTAGTCGGTAATTGAATAATTGGAGTGTCGATGATGCCATATTGAAGTTTGTCCAAACGCAGAAGATGCTTTAGACCACCATAACTACAAAGGATGGTATTCTGTAGTGTTGTTTGCCTGCGTTGACTACAGATATTATCCTGTGAGAAAATAGCTTGAAACATTTTGTAAAATATATTTTTTTGCAGATACCGATTTCAATATATCAGTGTTGGAAGCCCCGGTTGGTGCAACGATTCAACAATATTTGAAACGTCCAATTTGAAGAAGGCGTTACTCTCTTCAAATTTGAATCAGTATTCAACGCAATTGTGTGGAGTAGATGTACCCGTTTTGTTGATCGGTGACTCCGCGTTTCGATTGTCCAACATGGTGATGAAACCATATTCGTTTCGTGCTGGGACGGGACTTGACAAACGGGTAGCGATTTCGAGCCAATTTTCTGTCAAATCCGAGCCAGTTTCTGATTGGTCGGTTTGACAGTAGCAATCGTGGAATAAAAAGGATAGAGGGATCGCATCAATCTGGCTGGCAGTGATGCCGGAATCAATGTTGACGTCAATGGCGTTGTTATTTGTATATATTTACGAAAGGCCGAAAGGTGAGTTGAAAAATTGAGTGCACTGCGTGTTTTAAGCTATGGATATTGTTGTTTGTTTATGGTTAATTTTATTGTGTTGAGCAAAAATGATGCTCAAGCGTCTAGACTGCGGTAGAAACTCCGGATAAAATCCAAATTTAAAATAGAAAAATATTTTACATTCATGGCATCATTGGTCTACTCCTTCAAACACTACGCGCAACTTTCCGAAGGGCATTCTTCAAAAACATTAAGAAGAGTGAGAAGCTCGATTGTCACGTCCCGTCCCGGGTTTCGTGCAGATGCGCCACCAAAACAAAAATGCTTCAACTATGCGTTATCAAAAGCTCGTCGGGTTGTGGAAAACGCATTTGGCCACCTGAAAGCCAGATTTCGACGCATCGGAAAAGGCCTTGACAACCATATTGATAAAGTTCCACTGATAATCAAATGTTGCTGTGTTCTCCACAATTTTTTGAACGAGAATAGCGATGTTGTCAATCAGCAATGGTTACAACAGTTGCAGGAAAAAGAAACCATTCATCAGAAACAACAACCGGAAGAAGTTGTTACGCTGTCGGACACTGATCCCATGGCACATTTGATTCGAGAGTCAATTGCTAATTATTTGAGTGAGTACTTGTCTTTCTTGTCTGTCCCGGTGTGTGCCAAAAATCATTATTTTAAAATTTGCAAGTATACTTGACAAACATTAACAAAAACTGAGCAAAAAGTACTCAATTGTTGCAGTATGCAACATGAGAACATACTAAAGAAGTGGTTTACACTATAGACACTGTATATAGACTGGACAACGTTAGGTGGATGAATTTAAGTATTTATTGCTCCAATTTATGAATTTAATTAGATAAAAATTTTATGAGAGCATCATTCAGTTCTTTAGAACTGTTTGTCATTTCTCGAAGAAGATCATTTCTATCTTCTTCAAGTTTCAAAAGTTTTTCATCGGTTTCCTTGGATCTCCGCAGCTCATCTTCTAAGGTCAAATTAGATTTTCTGATCTCTTGTAGAATCTCTTGCTGCATGCTAACGGTCTTTTTCCTTTTCGCAGCTGAACGTTCCGGTCCTGTCGAAGCCAACGGGGAATTCTCAGCATACGATCCACTTGCATCACCTGAATCATAGTCCACCGCTTGGGTTGAAAATGATTCCTCCTGAATCCATTCTTCACGGGTATCTGTAATTAGTGATTGCTTTTGAATTTGAAACTACAAATAAAAAATAAACATACCGTAATCATCTGAAATACTGTCCTCAATCACTTTCTCAACATTATGGATTTTGAAGCTCCCTAAAATCCTATGGATCCGATTATAATATGGCCACACCGAAGGCGAGCCTCCGGAGGGACCGATGGTGGTTTTTTCTTTCCTGGAAAACAAATTAATTGGTTTGTTTTAGTATTCAACTATAAAAATTAAGGTAAAACTTAAAGAATTGGTAAGAACTATAATAGGGAAATAATCGATTCTCTATGTTATCTATAGCCTGGCTTGATTATCAGTTCTGGGTGCATGAACTGTTGCTTTTGATATTGTGTTACATGACTCACTAACGAATATATCAATATTTGAGAAAGAAGAAAATATGCCCATAGATTTTCAGTTATTATTTTTAATATTTTAACTATTAAGTCAATTCAACTAATAACAAATTTAGACATTTAAAAAGGGCCTATCATCTTTTGTAAACAACATTTCTAGATAAACATTTCAAAAGGTCCTATCTGCATTGATCGATTCTCTTCATCGACTTTCTCTTCCATTAATAACTCAACTTCAAAAGCATTCCCTCCTGTATTCAACGTTCGAAGCACAAGATAGAAACTTCTGCTATCAAACTGTGTGGCGAAAATAGCAACAAATGTATTTGCATAGGCGTGGTTATCAAAAGAGAAAGTCGATGAAGAGAATCGATCAAAGCAGATAGGACCATTTGAAATGTTCATCAAGATTTGTAAAACTCCTTATGCGTAAATAGAAGCTTGCCTATGCAAACCAACAACACCATTCAGACTACAGAGTTATAACATGTTATAACGGTTTTCAAGTAATTTCAACACAGAAAACACCATCAAGAAAGCGCTATAACATGTTACAACTCTCCAGTCTGGACGGCGTTTTAGTGGAAATTCTCCTCTTCGTGATAGAGTTTGTAGTTTGTGCTAGGCCCTATTCAAATGATACGCGAGAGTTTTGAAGTACTCGTACGTTCATCTTGTGCCAAACATCTGACAAGAAATATAAGATCCGTACTAGCTGTTGATTCACATCAGGGTATTGAAAAATAATTTGTCCAACAGGAATTCACAACATCACTGGAAAGAACATTAACATTTTAATACTGTCAACTATCTACAACTCGAAGTCCAGAAACTCGATATCAAGTTATACTACCATAGCAAAAATAAATGTCATGGCTAATGGAAAACCGCTTTTGGATGGGATTGTTATTCTATAGCTCGATGGTCCGTTCTCGATGAGAAAGCACGCATTGCATAGTAGGTATATGCAGGGAACTCCATTTGTATTGCTTGAGATTGGACCAATATTCCATAAAAGTAGTAGTACACATGCACATATATATTTTTGTTCCTGAAAACTCGAGAAATTTGCGATGTATTAAAAAAAATCGGGATGTGCTTTGAGAATTCCCGCGAAACATTTAACAAGGGATGTTTTACTTCGTGGAACTTGCATGTCACCATGTAGTCACTGCTATCCGATGGTGTTTGTCTCGGTGTTTGTAATATCGAACTAATTCAGTAACCTATCTATAGATACGTTACTGAATTAGTTCGATATTACAAACACCGAGACAAACACCATCGGATAGCAGCGAGGATAGCAGTGACTACATGGTGACATGCAAGTTCCACGAAGTAAAACATCCCTTGTTAAATGTGTATACACATTATCTAATCCCAGTCAAAGCGAATCTTTTCCGTAAATTTATTTTTTTAACTTTCTATATTCTTCATCTTTACTTATTGCATGAGATGTGCACCCGGTATATTTAGTCAATTTTTCTTTTTGTCCTCAGCAGCATCTTTCTGTAAAGTCCTTAAACGCAGTATTACCACAAACGAAGTGATACAACCATAGAGGTAACTCTAAGACCACTGGGTCCCGAAGAAAATCATTATTATTTTTGGCTCACTCAGTACCACAACAACGGTCCCAAGCAGTCCCAAGCTATTTCACTCACCCCTGCATGTTCTGCATGAATCCACACACCCCTGATGTTATCTGTCAAACTTTCATAGCGAATCAAAACAAACATAGTGTAGTAATAGAATTTCAACTAGAATAGGGTACGTTAATCGTTTGCTTGGGACCAATAGGCTACTAAAGTGGTGAGCCAATTTAAAATCGTTAGTTTCGTATTGATTGTTGATACAACCTTTCCTAAGTAAATTCACTTAATTTGCACTTTCATCTTAGTGAAAATCGCACATACACAGAAAAAAAAGTTGTTGAATATTACTTCCAAACTGCTGCAACCAGGTCAATGCATCGGTTGTGTAATACAACGTTGTACGATGTACATCGATTTTGCGAACAAAATTACATTCATTGATGTAATATTGTATCTGCTTTTTGCTATTACATCATTATTTCATACATCAGCTTGAATTACATTGATCGATGTTACATTTTTTTTTGCTGTGTATTTACCATTTTCTGAAAAATGCAGCTGCGCAGGAGGTAACCTCTCCCTGTGGGTGCAAACTTGTTATGCATAATTTGTCATGAAAACATCTCCGATCCATACCGAAATAATAACAAATAGTTTTCTTACACGATTCAAGCAAAAGTTTCCACGGGAAATTACAAGTTTTTCGTTATGGACCGATTTGTCCCAAAAAGCGTCTGTTTTACTTGGAATATTTGGAAACTATCCTCCTTCTAGTAGTTCTCACTTCGAAATGTAGGGGGCGAAAGCTTGGAAAAGTTTCACTGCAAGGCGCCAATTGGTTTTCCTAATATTCGGGAAGTTTTTTCCTGGAAAATTTAGCTCACTTTTGAGAGAATCCACTTTTAACAAAATTGAATCGACTCGACTCAATTTTGAGTTAGTCCGGTCGTCCGTGTTGACAAAAACCCTTTCGATGCGTTGGTGAGCGATGTCAAAAGGCTTTTTTCTATAAAAAAAGAGAAAAAAGAGTAAACAAAAAAAAAACGTCTTACTGTCAAAACTGAAAAGCTCGCGAAATAAGCAAGGCATCAAACGGGTTGTCTCGTTCTTCCATTTGCCAGCAGCATACTGCGCGAAAGAGTACGAAACGTTTTGTTGTTGTGGCAATCATCATCATCACAGAGCAGCGAAAGGAGCAGAAAAATATTACTCCGATTCGATTTTAGAGACGACACACAATCTCGTCCAGCAGTGGTGATTGTGGATATCAATCTTTTTGCGTTTTTTCGCGTAGTTGAATATATTTTTGGAAGTGGATTTTGCACTGGAAGCAATCGGGAACCGATTAGTGTTGCATTGGATGCGTTTCCGTACGGTATCGGGTGAAAGTTGAAGCTAGAGAAGTGATAAAAAAAACGTAGCAGCAACCGCAGCTGGTCACTACGGCCGAAGGATTTCGCTTTTATTTTGGGGCGACGACTGCAAACGACGACGGCACGGACGGACGGAATTGCTCTTGCACTTTTTCAAATGGCTGAAATAAAGGCCATGGAGCACCCCACTTTGAAGGTAAGTGCTACAAGGAGGGTGGTGGAGGTCTCTTTTGTTGATCGATTTGTAGTGCAGGCAAGTTGGCAAAATAATCTGGATTTCAAGGGTGAATAGTTTTCTCGCAAGCAAGTGCCTCTGAATTTGCGTCGTAAACATGGAAGAAGGGATGATGGGACTAATGGCAAATTTTATTCTGTATAAAATGGTTTCCATCTGACTCGTTTCTTGCGATTGATCGAGTTGCTTAGATTTTGTTTTTTTTTTGCATTTTAGAAAATATTCACTCCCGATCTAGTATTTGATATTATGATCTAATAATTACATATTGTTGGAAATTTACTTCACTTGTTAGAAAGCACTTTTTATGTGCAGATGATTTAAAATCTTTGATTGGCCTTGTAAAAGCATTTTGCATCTTCCTTAGTCCTAAACTTAGGTCACGTTCTTAGTTCACTCCTACGAGCCGAATTCCCTTCCAGATGTTTATCAAAATGGAGAAACATCGTCGTCGAATTTTCTGTACCTATGTCTTGTATCGTTCATTCCTCTTTCTACTGCTTCGGTCCTCCGTCTGAGTTCTGTTCTGGTTTTATTTTGTTTGTATTTTCTACATTGTGCTAGCATGTATTTCTATTATTAAGTACCTACATTCACCAGCATCGCGATGCCTGATGCCCGGAGCCTGAGCATATACAAAGATCGAGCCAAAGCCAGACGCACACTGGAAATACATAAATAAGTTCAATGATAGCAGGTTTTTTTTTTTCGTTTTCGCCTCTACTGTGCAATGACCATCGTCGTCTTAGTGTCTATATGTTACATAAGTAGTTACATGCACATTTATGTGTTCTATTGATTGTCCCTTCTTCGATCGTACTACTTATCCGAGCAGTTGCTTGTTCTGTTCCATGCAACATATTTTACTTGAACAATAAAACTTCAATCATCTATATACTTTACTGTTCAAATCCTTAGCTCAGGAATCGCAAAGCATGTCAACGTGTATGAAAATGTGTGATTTAGTTGACCAAGAGCGATGATGTGTATCAACTGAAACTCATTATAGCCTATATGTACTTATAAGTGATGGCTGAGCAAGTTCATCAGTGTCAGCTGTTCGGCAGGTAATCAAACTAGCCTGCATCGCAATCAACCAATTATATTATACTCTCTTTCTCGCAGTACAGCTATTGGAAGGATAGCGTGCGACAGAGCTTACAATGTTTATAAGAGATGACATCAGCGTTGAGAAGTTTATTCTTTGATTTTTGCCTGTTTTTGTACATTGGATGGGGTGGGGTGGGGTGTGTTCTCCATTGCGATTGTGTGGTGAATTGCGAGTGTTTAGAGCAACATGTGAAATAGGGGCTGGTACGTTTGACATAATGAACATTTTGCATAAAGGACATTTGGCCTAATTGCTATTATTCGACATATTTTTAATCACAGGTTTAATTTTCAATCTATTACCATTCTTTCTTTTTTTTTTCTCTCTTTAATTAGGAGATTTTCAGCCGCAGGCTGGTTCATCTCCGGGAGCCCCAGAAGGGGGCTTCCCTAATTACATAATTGGAATTTTTGAGAACCTAGAAGGGGTTCTCCTAGGGGTTGGTGGGGCTCCAGAAGGGAGTCCCCTTAGTACAGAGTGTTTTTTTAACAGAGTTCATTATAGTCCCTGTTTTGGTTCTTAGCGTGGTTGGCGGATCATGGTGTGAATGGCGGTGGTCGTTGTCAAAGGCAGTCAGGTAATCGTCATGTGATTTTTTTTATAATGCGTTTGCGGAGCCGATATTCATTGTTTAGATTACAAAATTACTTAAAACTAACGTTAGTAAAGTGGGGGGCGATTACTCGCGGCTTAGGGGTAACAAATTGTAACAAATGGATGGCAGGGTAGGGATTGTGAACACAAGGTTTGGAGAGCAATGTGCTGTTGATCTCGAACTAAGCGACACTCTGATGAAAAAGACAAACATGGGGGTCAGCTAACAACTTGGGAGAACACAAGATGACACTAACTACTAAATCCTCAATCGTCATGTGATATCCAGGCTTATTCCAGTGGTGTCCATGTTCGAGGCGTGGTCATTTTGTATATATTCAATTGATTATATTGTATAGAACAGTCCATCATCTTTTAGGAAAACTATTAGGGCTGCTTCCATGGACGGGTCGTTAAAGAGGGCGTTACGTATGCTGTTTGGTATTCCCTAGAGGAACCGGATGTTATGGAAGCAGGGACATTTAACAATCAGGTGTACGACTGTCATAATCGTGTTGCAGGAATCGCAAAACTTTCGAAAAGAGGTAGCGCTACCCATGTTGTGGGTCACTCGGATGTGTCCGGATCGAAGCCGGGATAAGACTTGTTGTTCCCATCGGCTCGTAATGTCATTCCGTAATGTCTCATGAACCGGGGACCAACGGCTTTACTTCCCTTCCGAAGGAAGGCGTGATCAGAGATGTTATGCCTCAGAACATCCCGGCGGCGCCGACTGGGATTGACCCCAGGCCTGCTGGAGTGAGAGGTAATCACGCTTACCACTACACCACCGGCGCCGCTTAATATTTTATTCATGAATCCGATGTTTGTTCAATGTCGAAGAAATTAGAACTATTTAAACGAACAATGCCTCAAAAAACCGTGGTGAACCGCAGCGCTTTCCCAAGGTTTCTTAAAACATGTCATGTTAATTGGAGGTGTCGCCCTTTATTTTTCTCAGGAACGGTCCCCTTTTTGCGAACCACTCCCGGGCCCAGGTGTCTCGGAGGGATGCTTTCACCCATTTTTTTTTACGTCCGGACTGTTGCTGAATTCAAGGCGTATAAAACGCTGGCGGAGTCTGTTAGGACACATATGGGTTTATTGGCGGGTGTCGTGGTGGTGAAGTGGATGGCCGCAGCCTCCGCCGAGAAGACGAAGCACTGATCGGGTAGTCGAAAGAAGTAACTATTGGATACATCCGCTACTCCGAATCCGACCTTCCCCACGGCCTTAGAGCCGTCCGTGTAACGGTGTTGAAAATTTAGTTCTCAGCAGCTCCGCTACGTGGGCCTGCATGTCACGGGAGTTGTTACCTGCCTTGAAGCGCTTGGAAATTGAAAGGACAACGCGTATGGTTGGTTCTGTCCATCCTCTGGCTCCGTTCCAGTGTACCCTGGACACGGGTGGGAGCTCCTGATGGACCAAGCTTCCGAGAGCTCTGTTCCCCTCCCTGAGGAGAAAAACCTCTTGGTTCCCGGTGGTCTTTTCCAAGTAGCTGGTCGTTCTGGAGCTCAGCGTTTCGGCGACTTGGTATTGAAACGGTAGTACACCGAGTTCGACGCATGCCGATTCAGCCGGTGTTGAAGGCAGAAGTCCTGCGACGATTCTGATTGCCTGGTTATACGTTGGGGCTAGTCGTGTGGTAAGAGAGTCGTTGGAAAGGCAGAACAGTTCGATCCCTTAGAATAATCTACTGTTTACGGTGGCTTTGGCCACATTTAGTAGAATCTCTCTGTTACTGCTCCGGTGTGGTTTGGAAAGTGTCCGGAGGAGACTCAGCGGGAATCGGGGTCCTGACACCAACACCGTTTTCGACCATACATCTAGACAGAGACCTCCCAATCATGGCGGTCAGACTCGAACACCCATTTCCGATTTCAGTTGTTTCCGCTTACCTTCCATCCTTCCAAGCGATCTGCTTCAAGACCTCGAACCACCCATTCTAGTACTTAGGGATATGAACGGCTATCATCCAGCATAGGGAAGCCCGAGAACCAACTCCAGAGGCTCTACACTTATGGAAGTTGCAGAAGCCTCGGATCTCGTCGTTCATAACGACGGGTCCATCACTTTCACCAGCGGACAGAGGGAATCCTCTGTAGACGTATCAAGCGTTAGCGTTGTCAGCAGGCTCCTCTGGAATGCTGAGGATGATCCCATGGGCAGTGACCATTACCCACTAGTAATCCAACTCGATGACCGACCGCAGAACACATTACGTAAACCACGATGGAAATACGTCCCTTTTTCAGAAATTCGTCGACGTCGCATGGTCCAATTCAACACCGGGCAGTATTCAAGACTTCATTAGCACCATCCATCAAGCGGCACTTTCATCAATTTCACGAACCAGTCCCAACCCGGGATCTAAGTCTCTACCATGGTGGTCCCCAGAGACCAATGCAGCAGTTAAAGCCAGAAAGAAGGCTCTTCGGGCTGCTAAGCGGCTACCTTCGGACCATCCATCGAAAGAAGCGGCCATGGCCACCTACAGACCAAAACGCAACGAGTGCCGACAAACTATCCTGTCTGCTGGGAGCAATTTCTGGACAGCATTAATGCTGGCCAGACGGCCACTGACCTGTGGGGTAAGGTTAACGCATTAAGTGGCAAACGGAAAAGCCGCAGAATGGCCACCCGGGTAGATGGTACCACCACTAGAGACCCTGGTAAGATCACCCACGCTATGGGGGAAATTTTGCCTCTCTCTCGGCCATTGACGGGTACGATGATCGCTTTCATCGTGTAAAAAAACCTTTCGACGCCCTCTTTGGACAGCATCTACATCCCAGAGGATGAACCACCGCTGGAGATTAATCGTCCTTTCATGCCACGGGAACTCGACCTAGCTCTTTCCAAGGCTACCGGGAAATCGACTGGCCCAGATGACGTCGGGTACCATATGCTAAAAAAAACCTATCACAGGAATGCAAGACCACACTCCTCAGACTTCTCAATAGAGAATGGCTGGATAATTCCATTCCAGAAGACTGGAGACACAGCGTAGTCGTCCCGATCCCGAAGCAGGGCACCTCGGGTCGCGAGCCGAAGGACTTCCGAGAGGATTCCCAGAGGAGACTGGCGTTCCCCAAGGTTCGGTGATCGCAGTCACGTTGTTTCTAATACGGATGAACGGAGTGTTCCACAGCTTACTCAAAGAAATATACATCTTCGTGTATGCAGACGATATCGTCTTGATGGCGGTCGGCTCCACAGTGAAGGCCCTTCGCAGAAAACTAAACGCGGCCACGAATGCAGTTCTACGCTGGACCAAATCCGTCGGATTCTACCTCTCGGTGGAGAAATGCGCGTATACCCACATTTGTCCGTTCAATCACCAGGTGCTCCGCTCTCCTATCACCGTCGATGAAAGGATCATCCCGTTTAAGAAGTCTATCCGCGTCCTCGGCATACGCCTGGATCGGCATTTAAACTTTGGAGACCATTTCAACGAAGTGAAAGGTAATTGCCAAACAAGAATCGGCTTGCTGCGGACATTAGCCAGGAGGCATCTAGCGAACAACCGTGCTGTCCGGATGCGCGTGGCTAAAGCGGTAGTCGATTCAAGATTAACATACAGTATAGAACTGACTTGCCTAGCTGCCGACAGGATGATTTTCCAACTGCCCCCGGTATACTATCAGGCCATTAGAATCACATCCCCTCCGCCCCAGGCTTGCAGCTTGTTGTGGAAGGTTACCCTTTGACAAATTTGTGGTTGCTACCGTTTGCAAGAAGGCAGTTGGCTTCGCAGAGAAGACAACTGGAACAAGTGATGGAGTGTCCCTCCTGATGGACGCCGCCGACCTGGAACTCCTTCCGGTAGCCAGGGTCCACTGGTGTGGAGCCAGGGGTTGGAACTCACTCGGACTTTCTATCGACTTGGCGTTAAAGAACAGATTCCGGGCGGGAACCAACTCCCCCGCACTAGTGAGATCGGTGGCCGAACTACAACGAACCAAGTATCCAAATCACCTAGCACGATACACTGACGGATCCCGAACTGGCGGAAGGGTAGGTATTCGGATATCCGATCCGGAGCTACGCACCTTCTACCGACTTCCGGACCCTTGCAGCGTTGTCTCTGCTGAAGCTGCCGCCATACTAATAGCCACCACCTCGCCTACCAACAAACCTGTCGCCACTAACAGCTCTTCAGTCCGATACAGCCAAGCACCCTTGGATCCAGGCTATCCAGAAGCTCGCTCATAAACGAACAACTTTCATCTGGATTCCAGGACACTGCGGGATCAGAGGAAATGAGAAAGCCGACCATCTGGCGGCATCCGGAAGACAGGCAAACCACTATACCCAAAGGTCTCTGCGTTTGCGTTTTAGCAAAGACATCATATCAAGAAGACTGGCAACTTTGCCAGAATCCAAGCTGTTCGCACAGCATGCGTGAGGAGCCAATTCACCGTACCTGTCCTTTGCATCATGGCTACATCGACGAATTTCACCACCTAGGCAGATTGGATCCTGCACTGAACCGAAACCGATGATGTGTCATCACGTCGTGTCATCAATGACTTCCGATGATTCAGTCAATATAAAAACCTAAGAAACCCGTCCAGGGCGACTCTTTTTGATTATACCGACCAGCAGATTAGCATCAAGCGAGGAATAGTGGAACTACTTACAGTGAAGATAAAAAATTGTGAATTATATACTCTAATAAGAAGTTAAATAAATTAAGAGTTTAATTAGTAGCTTAAAGCCAAGTTAGTGAAATAAAAGGAAACTATTGGTGATTAATAAATCGTATGTGGACTAGCATTACTTACCTGTGATGAAGATCATACCTGAAAGGGAAGAATATACTTACCTGTGAATTGTAACACGAACCTGAAAGAAATTGATTATACCCGTGAAAACCTCCCGCCTTTCTGAGTATCGGAACACAAGCGACAGATACAATAGCGCTGCGCTTGAGTGAAGGTGAAAGCAACGCATAGAAAAATGAGCAAATACACAAACCTTTATTCTTAGGATGTAATCTTTGCTATCAAATTCGTTCGAAGCGTTTACCTTTGAGCGGCAGATGACGCGGTTGTACCTGTCTTATAGCGTTCCTATGAGAAAATGGAAGAGTTGCCAGTCTTCTTGATTTGTTGTCTTCGGTTTTAGGTAGCCTGACAAACTTGATTGTTTTGCTGTTTTCAAGCCTTTCGAAGAGTGTAACGTGATTACAGATTTCCGATATTACCCTTAAAAATATCTAATTGGAAAACAACCTTCAATTGCATGCAAGAGTCCGCGTTCTTATAGTCTCTAATCCATCCAAGCTGCGAAACGCCAAAGGGGTTCTTTCAGCGATTGTCGATTTCCGATAAAAGGAGGGGTCGTCCATAAAGGACTCTCCTCGCAATTTAAAACACGAAAACTACCGAATGAGCCGTCGTCGGGTTCGTTCTTGGGGTTAAGCATACCCTCATCTTCATGAGCCGTTCTTTATTAGTTTGATCAGCAAACAGGTCATACGCTATTTTAAAGTGAGAAATAAATAGTCAGCAGTTAAAGTTAGTGGTATAAAAAAAAAATGCCAGTAGTTGGATTAGGTCAGTAGTGCAGACAGAAGGTGATACGTCTGAAAAGTAAAGCGCCAGTTGTGCGAACAATCACCCAACCAACTATTATTTCCTCGACTAGTCAGAATTACGCAAAGACTGAGTGTCGGTTGGCATTGTGAAGAACAATAAAAATTATAAATTATATTTTTAACGTTAGATTAGATGACTATCAATGCCAATACATACCATTTCGTATTCTCTTCCTTCCAGGTGCCATATGAAATCTTGAACAAAAAGTTCCGCATCGCTCAAAAGACGTTGGATCGTGAGCTCAGTCAGATACAGAATGCCGCCTCGGAGCTCGAGAAGGGACTCTCGGAGGGCACCGCTGGCTCGGAAATCTCCCGCCTCCTGGGCGGTGTGGTGGAACGTCTACAAGTGCTGAAGCGCAAAGCCGAGGAAAGCATCTCGGAGGAACTGTCGGCCGGACTGGTCTGCAAGCGTAGACTGGAGCACCTGAAGCAGAATGTGACTCCGCCGACCGATGTCACAACCCAGGAACTGCAGGCTGCAGCTACCAACCAGTGGAAGAAGATTCGCCTCGACCGGATGATAGTCGAGCACTTTCTCCGGCTGGGATACTACGACACGGCCGAACGGTTGGCCATTCGCAGTGGAATTCGTGATCTCTCCAATTTGGACATTTTTCAAATCACCCGCGAGGTCGAGCGAGACCTGGCCAACCGCAGCACGGCCAAATGCATCCTGTGGTGCAACGATAACAAGTCGAAGCTAAAAAAGATCAACTCAAACATCGAATTTCAACTAAGGGTGCAGGAGTTCGTTGAGTTGATTCGGGAAGACAAACGTCTGATGGCGGTCAAACATGCCCAGAAATATTTCCCTGCTTTCGAACACGAACAGTTGAAAGAAATCCGCCAATGTATGGCCCTGTTGGCGTTCCCCGTCAGCACCGAAATTGAACCTTACAAAACCCTCTTCGATCCACAACGTTGGAACGATCTGGTACTGCACTTTCGTTTGGAAAACTACAGACTGTTCCAGCTGCCATCGCAGTCGGTGCTGAGTGTGGCCGTTCAGGCAGGAATTTCGGCTCTCAAGACACCGCAGTGTTATTCGACGACATCTAAGAACATGAACTGCCCCGTTTGTCAGAAGAATGTCAACGAGATTGCAGACAATCTACCATTCTCACACTGCGCTCAAAGTCGACTAATTTGCAGGTAAGTCCGATATAGAGCTGATTTTATTGTGTTGCATGATTCTTCAACATCTACGTTCAATTTTTTGTTACAGAATTACCGGAAAACCGTTGAACGAACACAACCTCCCGATGATGCTTCCGAACGGGCAGATCTTCGGTCAGCAGGCGATAGATCAGATGCGCCAGGAGAACGACACCATCATATGTCCGAAGACGAACGATAAATTCCGCTCGCCAAAGATCGAGAAAGTTTTCGTCATGTAGTAGAGCTGTCCAACCCCTAACCTCCATCAACTTCACATCACTTTCTTCTGCTACATAAACACACCAGCACGACATCTGGCGGCTGCGGTATTATTTTTGGTAATTAAACTGATCACAAACAGAAATCAAACTTTAATCGGTAAGTTTTCCCTCTTTATTGAAGTCTTTCGCTTTCGTTTTGTTTATTTAGTCGGTTTAGATTATTATTTTTTTACTTTGCATTCAGAGAAGAATAAATTTTAGATTATCTTTATTTGTTGAACAGTTTTACACATCATGAATTAAGTATATTAAACGTTAAGGAAAGAAAAGTTTTGCAAATTGAATTTATTTTCTAATATTATGAAATGCTCTAGCAATAGTGTATAATGTAAACAAAATAAGAAATATTTTGATAGTAGCGAGTAAAAATGACAGCTGAGTGCAAATAACTGTTTCATACCAAAACTATGCCATCTGTTTCACACAGCATCTCATATTGATGGACTTTGTTGATTTTGATTGATTTTCCAATAAGCATATAGAACGAACCTACCTACATAAATAATAGATCTGCTCCGACTCATCTGGGAGACCATGGTCCGGCTTAAATTACATTTAATTTCATGTTCAGATCATAAGAAGCTCCCGATTTCCGTTGTGGCTGAAATATTCTTAATGTCAAATAGGTACTACCACTAAATTGATAACGGAAAACTGTGAATATTAGGTTCTTTTATTATTGGTTTTCATATCGAATGTCGATTGAGCAGAGCAATGGAGTGAGTAATATAGATTTTTATCTTTATATCATAAGGAAAGCGAGGCCAGCTGTTCACATACTTTCATAGAACGGAAAGAAATTATGTATCCCTGATATATTTTTACCATACGACTGTTTTCTTCAAGGAGATTTCTGTTAATTTACAATCCCGAGTTAAACCGGGATAATTGATCACTTTTTTACTCTTCTCACGGGAAGGTATAGCTAACGATTGACAATCGGCCTGCCGAAAAAAAAACAAGTAAACCCTCAGACAAACAGACAAAACAATCGGCTTAATAATAATTGAATACATAGAGGTTCCAGTCCAGTTTGAGATTTTATTATTCGAAATCCCGGGCCGGGACCAGGGAAAATCTTCAAGATGCTTAAAACCTAAATTACCAAAAAATAATGCCTTTATGCAATAACGAAGCTTGAGAAAAAGTATTGGACATTGGAAATTCTTAAAATAATATTTTAAAAAGCGAAATTGGTTTTAGCTTTTATCGGAAAGAGACAAATATAATTATAGAGTAAATGTTTGAGGAATCCGATAAAATAAACTATCTTACGATCCGTTAACGTTGGCTTCATACCAGTTTACACGGTTTTAAAACCGTATTTCAGCCTCCAATCAACTCCTTTTAAATGAACATCATCTATCGTTTATATTTAACTAGTCCCAGCAGGTCCTTGGATAGCTCGTCTATGGACAATTAATGTGGTCTTTGTTAATTTTTTTCCCTTGATTTGTTTTCCGTCGATCTTGTTTTTCGTGCTGGGCACCAATGCTACCGACGCCAGGGAGGCAGCTCCCACACCTGGACCCTGTCTATCGACCCATCAAATCATGAACCGGGGAACAACGGCTTTACTTCCCTTCCGAAGAAAGGCGTGATCAGATATGTTATGCCTCAGAACATCCCGGTGGCGCCGACGGGGATTGAACCGAGGCCTGCTGGGTGAGAGATAATCACGCTTACCACTACACCACCGGTGCCACTATCTTTGTTCATTTTAGCAACTGTTTAACCTTTGTGTATGATGAACTTGAACCAGCCAATTTCATCGTTTCAGCCAATCCATCCATTGTTGAATATCAGGTAATCCAGCAGAACTTGATTTATAGTTATGAAGAAAATATCGTAAGTGAAACCAATTTAATGTAAAAGTGCGTCTTTCGTTTATGAACTCCAAAACCATATTATATAATGTTGATGAATTTGGAATGAATTCTGCCCCACTCACACTCTCCCCGACCCACTCACTCGTATCAATAGAAATAAAGTTTCAAACTGAATTAACTTCGGAGTTTCTTATCGCGTTGGTATGTTCATAAATTATTTAAAAATAATTTCTCAATCTCATAGGCATAGCTAGAGAGGAGGGGGAGGGGCTTACTATACCCCCACGCTCCTCACTCATATAAATGGAAGTAAAGCTTCAAACTGAAATAACTTAGGTGTCCCTAATCTTGTCAAGTTGGTACGTTCAGATGTATTCAAAAACATTAGCTCCAAAACGTAGCTCACTTAGAGCTTCTCTACCGCGGAGCGCTAAACGGGATTTAATACCCATTTTGCCACCCATGGGTTGTAACGACTCCCACCGCGGGGTTCTAAATGGGTGTGCAAAATGAAAACTTTTGTGTTTATTCCGCTTCTCGCGTGACGTGAACCGAGTCTAGTCGTATATGTCACCCAATTCCCGTACTCGAATTGACGAGTGCACGGATGGATTTGAGTTCACTCACTCAACAAAAAGTGACACAACAGCGGGGCCCTGTTTACTAAAAATGAACACATATGTGTTCATTTTTAGTAAACAGGGCCCCGCTGTTGTGTCACTTTTTGTCGAGTGAGTGAACTCAAATCCATCCGTGCACTCGTCAATAGAGTGACAAGTTTCGATACGAATGAACTCCGATGAACTTTCGGTGTATCCCCATTAGGTTCTGCAGCGTGACGTCACAAATGAACTCAGTGTTAGCCGGCTGAACCTTTTTGACAGTTCAGTGGTACTGTTTACAAGCACTTAGTCGTTTTTACGAAAAAAAATATTCTTAAATTTCCGAATTTCAACTTGAAAATTGTCGAGGAACAGCGCGTAGAAAGGATGTTGCTCATGGACATTGCAGAAGTGTGGTTTACATCTCACTGCAGTCCGAAAAAATATCGAGAAAATCCACCCAAGAAAAAATCGACTAAGTCCACGTAAACAGTACCACTGAACTGTCATCAGATTGAGGTTAACCCCGACGGTGCAAAACCTAATAGTCGATGTTTATAGACATAACTCTGATCGGAATGACGTTTTCATGCGAGTGTTGTCGATACGTCAGAAGCAATCGAGAACGTTTGAAAAGCGAGAAAATGGAAGTGAAGCGGCAAGTTTTTATTTTTTTATGCTTTTGAAAATATTTTTACTATATAATTACACTTGTGTGACAAACCAAAAGCAGTTTGCTTTCTTGGTTGATCGGATGGAAGCACATCCGTCGGTTGCCAGAGGGCAAAAATTTTGCGAGGCAGCTGCAATGGACCGGCAAATGTACCACGCTCTCTGGACGGAATTTTCAAGTAGACTAAACAGTCTAGGTCCCCCGACTCGGGATGTAAAGGGCTGGCAGAAGGTAAGTTATTTAATTTATTTTCACGCCGTTTTCATAGAAAATATTTTACCGTTATGTGCATGAGGAATTTTCTGCCCTCTGTTTCTCAAATGGAAGCTGGTATAAGGTACCCCCGAGGAGCGTATTTCTCACGTATTTCCGATGCAGCAAAACACATTAAGAAGCGCATTGGGCTATTCTTAACACAAAAAAGTGGGACCTGTTTAAAATAACCGATTCCATTTGAATTAAAGTTATGTTTACCCTTCATGAATAGATTGGACGATGTTTATCTGGCTGCGCTTGACGGGGAATATGACGTTTATGTATTCACGGAAACTTGGCTCGATGGGAGGATCAATTCAGTGCAACTGTTTGGTGACTTTTACTGTCTACAGATTAGATCGTAATTCATCCAACAGCATTCGTACTCGCGGTGGTGGTGTCCTCATCGCTGTTTCCAACGAATTCGCCTCCTGCGTAATCTCCAACGAACTATTTACTACAATTGAAGCGGTTTGGGTTAAGGTCAGCCTCACTTCGCGGGACATCCTCATTGGAGCGGTGTATATTCCCCCTGAACGTCGACATGACTGCCACACAATGCAGCTTCATCTGGATGCTACAGAATTTGCATCGTCCATGGCTGATATAACGGATGTGCTTCTTCTGCTTGGTGATTTTAATCAGCCTGGGCTTAGCTGGTCACCCTCAGGCCAGGGTTATGTGTTTCCAGATCCGATTGCATCTTCAACTACTCCTGCCAGCCGCTTGCTTGTTGACGGCACGGCTTTTCATGGACTGAGCCAGATAAACCTTGTTCCCAATTTCCAGTCTCGTTTTCTTGACTTGGTTTTTGTTAGCGAAAGTGCACTTCTGGACTGTGTCGTCGTTTAAGCGCCTGATGTCATCGTTCCTCTTGACAATTTCCACCCTGCTTTGGATATATCTATCGCGAACGGATCTCAAATTCGTTTTGATGAAACCATGACTGCCACTCGGCTCAATTTCCGGAAGACCGATTTCCGTTTGCTGAGACGTTCCTTGTCCCGGATCAACTGGAACGTGTTGAATGACCTTGATATCGATACAGCAGCCGCTCGCTATAATAGCCTTTTGCGCGACTGTGTTTGTGCTTCAGTACCGAAGTGCCAACCTCCAAGAAAACCGCCTTGGTCTAACGCTACTCTCCGCAACCTGAAACGAGTGCGATCTAGAGCTCTCCGTGCTCTCACTCATCGACGATGTACCCTTACCAAGCGAAATTTTTCAATTGCCAGCAATGATTATCGCCACTACAACAAGCTTCTTTACAAGAGGCATGTAATTCGTACTCAACATAACCTGCAATGCCACCCCAAGGGATTCTGGTCGTTTGTGAATACTAAGAGGAAGGAAACTGGACTGCCGTCAAAAATGTTTCTCGGCAATGACGTAGCATTGACAACTGAGGACAAATGCAGCCTATTTGCTAGGCACTTCTTAAGCGTCTTCTCGAATGACCCCTAATAAATTTGTTCTGGTTATTTTCCTAAACGACGTGTTTGGGGTATCATCCAAACCATTTGTGGAAAAGTTCGACTATTTGGGTTATTGTTCGTTTATGGTATTTTTTATTAGGGACTCTCCATCGCAAGCAGAAATTGAGCGAGCCGTCCGTGATGTGCCAACCGACGTCGTAAACATGGATGTTTTTGCCGTAGATGTACAAATGGTTCTCTCTGTGATGAGTAAAACCAAATCATCATTTTCACCAGGTCCGAGTGTTATTCCATCTGCAGCCCTAAAAAAAAGCTCCGATATCTTAGCTGCTCCGTTGTCCTTGCTCTTCAACCTGTCACTTCGTCAACAGAAATTTCCCGCACTATGGAAACGGTCTACTATGTTCCCTGTTTTCAAGAAAGGAGACAAACGCAATGTGGAAAACTAACGTGGGATTACCTCGCTTGGGGTTGAATCTAAGGTGTTTGAGTCGCTGATAAATGAGAGATTGTTTGCTTCCTACAAGCATTACATAAGTACATGTCAACATGGTTTCTTTCCTGGCCGCTCCGTGGAAACTAATCTCGTCAGCTTTACGTCGTTCTGTATGGAAAATGTATGCAAGAAACTTCAAGTGGATGCCATCTACACTGATCTTAAAGCTGCGTTTGATAGAGTTGTGCACGACGTTCTGCTAACAAAGCTTGAAAAAATTGGATGTTCTGTTTCCTTCTGCAGTTGGCGTAGATCGTACCTCGTGCAACGTGAAGTTACTGTATGCATTGGAAACTACTCATCGTACTGTTTCTCGAACAGATCAGGAGTTCCACAGGGTAGCACTTTGGGACCAATGCTCTTCTCTTTATTTGTGAACGATGTAACGTTTATTCTACTACGTGGAGGTAAATTGTTTTTTTGCCGATGACTTGAAGATTTATCTAGTCGTTCGAGCCTATGCCGAC